CTAAAATCCTCCGAAATACGCTTTTGATCAAAAACCCAACAAAACCACCTCCAAATGACCTGAAATTTCACACACACACATCCCAAATTACATAACGAAGCTATTGCAACTCTCGGAATTCCATTCCGAAAACTATATCAAAATCTCGTCTGTCAACCGGAAATCGCCAAAATATCAACTTTGCCAATTCAAGCTTAATTCCACTCCAAACCTCCAAAACCCATTCCGATCACACTCCTAAGTCAAAAATCACCTCCCAAAGCTAACCGAACCATCGGAAGTCACAACCGAACCCTCTAACATATAAGTCAACATCCGGTTGACTTTTCCAACTTAAGCCTTCTTAAAAGAGACTAAGTGTCTCAAACTCCACCCAAACCAATCCGGATTCAATCCAACCAACCCGATACCTCAAAACACAGATGAGCAAAGCAATAAGAAGCAAAAATGGGGGAAACGGATCGGTAACTCATGAGACGACCGACCGGGTCGTCACAACAATTTTCTCGAATATTGATATTTCATCAATACATAGTTTTAATATGAATATAAACAATGTTGCAAGTACTTCACGTCTTAAAGTTTGTCCCTTGTCTTTTAGAAGTTGTAGCCTCCTTTTGACAGCCGCATACATATTAACAAGTTATCAGATGAAAGTACTCTTTCTGTCCATTTTCTTAAAAGTTATCGCATCACGTAAAATATTAATATATACAGTTGATTGCTAGAATTTCTTTTGAAACAAACCTTTCATCTTTTCTTTCTTTTTGTCTAAAGATAATCTCCAGGTTTCATCATATTGAATTAGAATACTTATAATTTGACTCTATAAACAAAGATAAATCCTAAGCTACATTAATTATCAGAAGGAAACGATTATCCCAAGCAAGTGTTAGACAAAAACAACCCATAGTCTTTGAATGTTTATGGCGGAGAAAAGGAAAAACAATATAGCTCTAGTAATGGAACCAGTTGTTTTCATAATTAGTCCGGAAAGCAACATAAATTTATATCCAAAGGAGAAAAGAAAAAAAGAAACAAAACAATTAAAATAAAATGATAATCAAAAATAAGTGGATCAGATTTAAGATCGCAGGCATATAAACTATAGTCTACAGATATATATGTTGAGTTTCCTTTAAATACCGGCACAATGAGACTTCCTTTGATCACATATATGGTGAAGATAACAATAATAACTGGTTAATAAGGGGAAAAAGCTAATTGGAGAGCAATAAAGTAGCCCACCATAAGTTCACCGAAATTTCTTTACATGGGCGTTGTAATTGGAGTTGAGCAAAAAAAAAAAAAGAGAATGTTCTTCTGGGGAAAAGGGAGACACTAACAAAGAAGAGAAAATGAAAAAAACGATGAAGTAATTTGACACTTTGGTGTCTGCTTTTATAGTGTAGTAAAGTATGAATAAAGACTATGCATAAATGTTAGTACTATAACCGGTAGAAGCTCATAGGACCAAACAGAGAAAAGTTGAAATGTGAAACAATGCAACTGATTTTTTTCATTTATTTTAATTTAATAGAAGGCAGCTTCTTACTCATGGGCAATATTGTCACTTAGTTTTTAAGGGTATATTTGTAAATCAACTTTTAACTTTGGGTCTTCCCAATATATATATATATATGATAGATAATTTGAAACAAGAGACTTTTAATTGTTTAGGTTTTTTTAATAGAAATTAACAATTTAACAATATAGAACACAATAATAAGCAAAAATCAAAATAAATAAGTATTTACTAAAACAAGAAAAATAAAAATAATAATTTTAAATTACACAATATATCATGCAAACAATTTCAAGTTACAATTAGCACTGTAGTAATAGTATATTATCACAATGTTGTCCTTCGCTCAAGTAATAAGAGCATGGTGGAATCACAATGATGTCCTACACTCAAGCCATTATTTCAGGCAGCTTCAGGTGTGATTACATGGAAACATTGGAAGAGGAGAAATACAGTGAAAAATAGAGGTGCAGTGTCTTGCAATAGGGTGATTCATAAGGTGAATAAGATTTTACATTATCTAGCAAGGGTGAGGTATCCATGGCTGTCAAGTATTCCTCTTCTATGGCCATAAATGATCAAATTCTTTGAGGGTTACAAGCCATATGTGGTGACCAAGAGAGTGACATGGCAGCTTCCTTATGAAGGGTGGTTCAAGTGCAACACTGATGGTGTATCAAGAGGCAATCCTGGACCAAGTTCATATGACTTTTGTGTACGAGATCATGTTGGTGAATTGGTGTTTGCTAAGGCAAAGGAGATAGGGGAGGCTACTAATATAGTGGCAGTAGCAAAGGCAATTGTGGAGGGGTTGACATATGTGTTGAAAGGCAACTTCATCCTTGGTGATGAGGAAGATAATTGATGGGGAACGGGAAACTCCATGGTGTATAGGGGCTAAAGTGAGGAAGATTAAGGAGATAAAGAGCACCTACAATGTGCTCTTTCAGCATGTATATATTAAGGGAAGGCAACACTGTTGATGATTTTTTAGCAAACGTAGTTTTCTCTTTTGCAGGTAGTTTAATGACTTGCCAATTGAAGGAAGAACATTGAACAACATGGACAAATCACGAGTATCTAACCTTAGGGTTAGGGTTGCCAAGAGAAAAAAGCCTGATTGATGAGCACAACTGATTATGCATTGCCTGATATTGCCTCATGCTACTATGTTGGTTATTTCTGGATGCTGTTAGATGGATTCACAGTGGTATTAGCATGTTATCATGCTCAGCCTAGGGGTGGTTTGGCAGCAGTCAGAACTGGTAAGGCAAGCAGGCATCATTTAGCATCTAATACAAGCTTACAAGATGTTAAACTACTTCTTATTAAGGTTTGGTACAGTTTCTTATATGATGATACTTCTGCACATTGGTTGCATTCTGTGATTGTGATTAGCATACAGACAGGACAATGCCATGGAAGATAGGGCATTAGATCACCTGCTGCTTTCACTCTTTCTCTTATGTTGTGTATTATGTTATTATATTCCAGTCATATTAGAGTGTTTTCACACTCAGTTTGGAGATGATAAGGCAGTATACAACCTTTATTTGATAAGCAAGCAATTGTGTCATATTGCTATATGTGCAGCTTCTGAAATCTACTTTGGTTGGAGATAGAGTTCAAAATGGAATTATTCAAGCTGGAAAAAAACATTTGCTTGGGAGTTTTGGATAGCTTCAATACAGTGATGTATTTGTTTGGAATTCACATTAGCCTTCTCCATTGGATCCTTGATCAATGGAATGCATACCCTGGCCTCCAATGGAATGCATACCCTGGCGCCTGATGAGAGCATTATATGTGCTACTTAGTACTTATCATTGCTTTTGGATTCACTTACACTACCTGGAGATGGAAGCATACATCCTACTATTTTGTAATAGCTAGCTCATTAGTTTTAGTTTTCTTATTCATAGTGGTAGCTAGTAGTATCTTTCATCTTTTATATTATTTTAGACATCTTGCCGCCGGAGCTCCATGGGCGTTGCGCCGTTCCCCAATCAAATGTTTGGATGCGAGCTTTTTTGATTTTTTTTTTATTTTGATCTCTCTGTTTCGGTTCCACACAAGGGCATACGGATTCGAAACGTATTTTCTTTATTGGGTTAAGGCAAGATATACATGGGGATCTATATAATAATTCAGGAAATAAAGAGTTAGAAAGTTAGACAAAACAAAAAGGTTTCAAAATAAAATCAATTAGTTTCAAAGCTCACATCCAAACATATGATTGGGGAACGGGGCAACACCCATAAAGCTCCGGTGGAAAAGGAAGGCCTGCCAGTCATTTAGTAGTTTTCTATTTCCATTCTGCCTTCACCATGCCTACCCTGTCAAAATGATTCTCCAACACTAGGCAACCTGCCTAGTGGTATATTTGCTTAAAAAAACTACAACTTCAACATGAAAGTTTTGGGGAGAGGTGATGAGGCAGGATATGACGTTACTTTATCTTACCGAGGACATGACCCTTGATAGTTATGCGGAGGTCGAGAATCAAGGTAAACAACTAATAGGTAGTCAAAAGTATTAGTGTTGGTCCTGTATTCTGTTATTGTTAGATTTTTTTTTTACTATTACTTGTTGTTCCTTTCGTTTTAGTTTTCTTATTATCTTGTATTTTATTGCTTGGTGCTATTGTTTTTCTTCTCGTCCTTCGTGAGCGGAGGGTCTATTGGAAATAGCCTCTCTACCTTCAAGGTGGGGTAAGATCTACGTACACACTACCATCTCCAACCCCACTTATAGGAACACTGAAATTATTGTTGTCGTTGTTGTTACAGTTCAAAATTTATTCTCAATTTCACAGAAACGCCAATTTGCTAGTTAAGACCACCTAGTTAATATGATCTTCACTACAAAAGAAATGACCACTACATTTTTATATAGAATATATATACATAGATATAGTAAACTCGACAAACAAACACCAAATCTTAATGTACATGCATGGATTTACGACTAGTCAAATATGATCTTCATTAAAAGAGAATGAATCACTACATTTTTATACATAGAGAGAACTATAAATGCGGTTAGAAAACAATAGTGACCATATATAGTTGTCTTTTCTATATTCCTCTAGCTACGACCTGAATGCACCATTAATATTTTACTGTGTTAAATATTACTCCATATAAGAAATTGCTTTAGCTTCTTGATTTTCTGGCGTGCGTAATTAATCCGTTTGAAGAGACTACAATTTTGAATTTTCGGATTATAGTTTTAAATATCCAAGATAAATGCCAGGTGTGTGCAAGCGTTATTCCTAGGAAAATGATAAGCAGTAACAATTAACAGCTACGTATTATAAAACACTAATTTATGAGAAATTAAGACGCACACAAATTCCCAGCTAAGACTTTCCATATACTCCCACCAAAACCCAACGGTAATATCATTCATCCTGTCTATAAATTCTGCTAATCTTCCCCTCTTTTAGCCCCATGCTCATCCATTCGTCCTCAACTTTAACTTCTCTTTATATCATATTCTCTAATTCTTACAGTTTGATCTGCATATTATACATGGATTCTCCTTCCTTTGTTAGCTTTTTCTTTGCGATATTTCTGAGTGTTATTTGGACATCTCAAGCATACACATTCTATGCTGGCGGCAAACAAGGCTGGATTTTAAAACCTTCTGAATCATATAGTCATTGGGCTGAAAGAAACCGCTTCCAAGTTAATGACACTATTGGTAAATCCTTTAATTTCCTCTTTTCTTGTGTGTTATGTTATTCTTTAATATTTTGAGTAATCAAAAGTCTTTTCTTTAACTTATATAAAGTCGCGAGTCAGAATTTTTACTAGTGAGATTCTAAATAAACTTGCAAAGAAATCAAAGTGATTCAACATATACTATTTATACACATAAAAAAATGTTTACCTATCTACTCAGTTTCGACACCGCTCTCCTTGGACAAGGGTGGCTCCACCATTGAGTATATAACAGCTTGTTTGGATAGTTGTTACCTATTGTATTGTATCGTATTGTTACTTTGCATATATGTTTATTTTGATTGTTAGTTAACTTTATTGTATTTTATCGTTAAATTCGTCATTACGTAACAATGAAATCGTGCAACAAGCGATTTGCTGTGATCGCATCGTTATTACTTTATTTAATTTTCCTCTTATCTTGCCCTTTTTTATTTTATACTATCACTATATTTTAATCGATTATAATAGATAAGTTGGCTATAATAGATTATGAATCGTTACCTGTAATTATTTTTAGCTAATTGTAGAATATTTATTAGACTGTCAGTCTATAAATTCTTATTTTGGTGAATGCAAGCAGTTTTCAAGTACAAAAAAGGTTCAGATTCAGTTCTCGTAGTCCACAAAGATGATTACTTCAAATGCAAAAAGGACAAGCCAATCCATAAGCTAAACAATGGTAAATCAAAATTGAAGTTTACAAGGTCAGGTGCATTCTACTTCATCAGTGGAAAAGATGATAACTGTGAGAAGGGCCAGAAGCTTTTAGTTGTTGTGTTATCTCCCAATCACAAGCGCCATAAATCTCCATCCCCAGCCACCCAAACGCCGTCGAGTTCTCCCGTTACCACCCCAACTCAGCCACCGGAGGATATTCCTTCCGTTGTGGCACCGTCGCCGCAATCCATTTCACCAGCTCCGGCTCCAACCAAATCGGCTGCAGTGGTTGTTGGTTCAAGTGGTTTTGTTTGGGTGTTTAGTTTGATCATGGCTATTGTTGTTCTTTAATTTAATTTAAGTCGTTGTGTCTAGTTCGGTATTTTAATGGATGTTTTTAACTCATATAGTATGATTTTTAAAATTGTTTTGACGATCAAGGTATATGTCTCCCGTCGTTTTGGCGTTTGATTTCTCTTGCTTTATTGATTGATATGAGCAGGCATTAGCGTCAAATGAAATGCTTTCTAGTCATGGTAAAAGATTTTAATTATCATTCCTTCTTAAGAGTGCCCATAAGAATTAATCCATAAGGTGGAAGATTACTATCCACTAAGATCGTTTATTAAGCATCTATACATGGGTTAATTTATAAGGTTACAAAGTGAAATTTCCGAGTTATTAGGGTTTGTGAAAACTTGTTGTCATAATTTTTATTTATCTAACATTTACATGAAATAAGAGTTTATACACCGAATAATTAAGAGAATTTTACACAGTTACTTGTGCTGTTTAGAAATATAGAAATTCTTCTTGTAGATTAAAGGATAAAGAAATTCATGAAATTGGAAGATAAGACGAGTTACTTGAAGAAAAATGAAGCATGAAATCGAGTCCAATATAATTGAAAGGCTCTAATTATAATTATTCAAATGATGGGCAGAATTCATGTCCTTGAACGAATTTAATTACATCAATCAAGTGCAGGCAAACAAAATTCACCATATATATATAATTCAGATGGGTGCAAAAAGTAGGGAAGAAGGAAAAAATAGTAGTAATAAATAGTGTAAAGAGATTTGAGAAATAGAAGAAGATGAGGTTCAAGAATTGCTCCTAGCACATCGAGTTATTTCACTACAACCACGACGATAGGGATTAATTTCCACGTGTGAACTGCAATCGTAATAAGAAGCCCCTCGTACATTACACGGAATAGTATCGGCAGAAAGTGCTGCATAGCTAATATAACCATCTTCCGCTTGCAATATTCGCCTGCCTCTACTGGAGATTGCAATTGCATGGTCGCCAAAATCATGACCAAAGTTGGTATTGCCATACTTGTGAGATGATATAGGATCAATATTCATCACTACAACTACTAACAGAATTATCTCTACTCGTAGATCCATGGTACTCTTGAAGGATGATTTTACAAATTTTTCACACATTATATTATAACGTTTCATGCTAGGTGTAATATATAGTTTGTTTGACATGCCCGGGTCTTAAGGACTTTTAGATCAACACTTCTTTTCTTTTCTAATTGTACTGTTGTACTTTTTCTTTTCCACTTGAAATGGCGAATAGTCCTCCACTTCTTTTTGTTGGTTAAAATACGCAAAATAATACTTGTCTTCCATAAATGGCAAATTTTTTACATTAATGGTACATAGAGATTATGTACTTAATTAATGAGCAGCCAAAATGCACAAATTATGGGGTATTTCTCTTTTCACACTTTCTCTCCTATTTTAAATTAGAGTTTCAGTTATGTTCTCATATTTTTCATTACATTTCTTAACTGTTATACTTCCTTAATCATTATGAAACTAATACTACATATCCAATTATTCATTATACATATATTTGGTACTATAAGTTTTTAGAGGAACTTTGTTTATACTATTGTATTAATATAGGGGAAAAGCTAATGTACATGGTATAACTTATATTATATTTTTATTGAAGTATAATATTATATATATATATATTCCTGGTATAATTCATTTTTAGAGGTATACTAATGTATTAATATACATAGTATAACTCAATATATGCTACGATGGTATTAAGGTAATATATTAGCATATATATGGTATAATTTCTTTTTTTAGAAATGCCATGTATATAAATATTAACGTAAGAATATACCTTTTGTGATCTTTTTAAGAATATACCATCTTAATGAGAAATACCATATATACCAACGGTAATAATATACCTTTGATCTTTTTAATAAGAAAGTGCTCCCTGGAATCATCATGATATAAAATTACATGGTTTCTAATGTGTATATACCTTAAAAATATATTACATTTTTCTTGAAACATATGTATTATATTTTAAAAATATAAAATGTATACTTTCGCTAGAGTTTATGTTGTATAAAAAGGCACATATACTTTTTTTTTTCTAGTAAATAATCCATGTATGGAAAATAGAAAATCTGTTATGGAATGAATTAAATCCAGCAAAAAAATAGAAAAACATATTACCATTTAAATATGTTAGGGATTGGTTTCAAGAGAAATATAGGAAAAAATGTGACAAAGTACTAGGAGCGTTTTCATTAAGGAAATAAATGTATTGGGTGCGTGATTATAGGTACATGGTTTAATGGTGTCTGCTAGGAATATAATTATTTAGTTTCCATGTGTTTAAAATAGTTATTGCTGCTATGTTTTTGAAATTTTTTCTTAAAATCCTTTTTATGTATTTTGCCCCACTTTGTTTCCTAGTTTAGGAATTTCTCTTGGGCTAGTCCTCAAGCTTTTGTGGGCAAGGACATCTGCTCAAACCCCAATGGGCTTTAATAGTACTAAATGGGCTTCTTTAATCTTCTTCCATGTGATAAATCATTGCTGTAAAAATAGTGAATATAACACGGGCTAGCCAGTTTTCGGACTAATAATTGAAAAATAACCATCATTTGCAAAGTCATTAAAAATTAACCACTATTTTAAAATATGCTAGATTACGAGGTCATGTGTATAAACTTCCAGCATATTATGCTGGAACTCCAGCACGAAAAATTCTAGCATAATATGTTGGATTATGAAGCTCATGCGTATAAACTTCCAGCATATTATATTTGAACTTCAACACATTATAAAATTTCAGTACATTATGCTAGAATCTCGTATGTAAAAAAATCAAACTTCAGCATATGGTGCTGGAATTTTTCTGGATTTTTAAGGGTGTTTTTGTTCAAATTTTATCTTTATATGAAAAGTGGCTAAATTTTGATTACTTCTGAAACTATGGCTATTTTTCAATTACCAATTGTAAATCTGGCTATTTTTTATTTTTTCCCATAAAAATATCATGGGTCCGTCATTTTTCGGACTGGTAAATGAAAAATAGCCACTATTTGTAAAGTAATAAAAAATTAGCCACTATTTAATGCGGATATAGAATATTGACAAAACACCCTTAGCTGAAACATGAAAAATATCTAGCATAATATACTAGATTTCAAAAGTTCTGCGTATAAATTTTAGCATATTTTGCTGGAGTTCAAAGACTTATGTATGTGAATTCCAGCATATTATTGGAATTCAATTTTTTAGAAGTTAAATTTCAGCATATTATGCTGAAGTTTAGTTCATACAGTATAAAATTTTAGGATTCAATTCTCCATCATCTGCACAATACGCAATGTCGTTGTAAGCATTTAGATTTTATCGAATTTAAATCAACAAAATAATGTGGACTATATTTTAAATTTATTAGTCAAAATAATTATTTTGGGCTAATATAAATGGATTAATTATATAAGTCTAATATAATTGGGCTAGCTCATTTAATTGGGCGACAAATGATGAGTCCACTTCATTAAGCCCAAGATGCCATCTCCCTAGAGGTTGTGACGACCCAAAGGGGTCATCACCTGTTTTCTCACTCATTCAGTGTCTCTGAGGCCTCGAAAACCTCATTTAGACTTGCCTCGATTTGTGTGCGCAGTCCGGGCGCGTAGCCGGGAAGCTTAAATATAAATTCTGTGTAAAAATTGATGAATTTTGATATTAATATGAATAAAGTTGACTTTGGTCAACATTTTGGGTAAACGGACCCGGACTCGTGATTGGACGGTCCCAGAGGGTCCGTAGAAAAATATGAGACTAGAGCCCGAGAAATGAATTTTTCTGTGAAATTATTTTTCTGAAATTTATATGGAAATTTGAAATGAAAATAGTTTAGAAAGTGTTGGTATCGGGCCCGTATTTTGGTTCCGGCGCCCGGTACAGGTCTTATATATGGTTTAAGCGTTTCCTGTGAAATTTGGTTGGAATCGGACGTCATACGTGTTTCGGACCTAAATATCTAAAAATGAAAGTTTGTGAAGTTTGATGAAAAAGTGATGATTTTGAGGTTTGATTCCTCGTTTTGATGTTATTTTGGCGATTTGATCGCTCGGTTAAGTTCGTAGGATGTTGTTGAATTAGTGTGTGTGTTTGGTTAGGAGCCCTGACGGCTCGGGAGTGATTCGAAGTGTTTTGAACATGGGAAAAGTAGCAGATTTTCTGCAATTTTTACACAGTGTTTTCCTTCTTCGCGATCGCGGCCTTCAGCTCGCGTTCGCGTACCTTAGCCTTCCCTTCATCGCGTTCGCGTTCCCCCTTACGCGATCGCGTGAGCCAACTCAGGACCCCCCAGTAATTCCTTCATCGCGTTCCTCGCGTTCGCGTAGTAACAGCCTCTTTTCATCGCGTTCGCGTACCCCATCTCGCGTTCGCATAGACCAAGTCCTGGAACCCCCCAGCTTTCTTCTTCGCGTTCGCATCATTCCAATCGCGAACTCAGTGCCTTGACTCAATTACCCTTCGCGAACGCGGCCCCCTTCCCGCGAACGCGAAGGGCATTTTTGCCCAGTGATTTTAAAAGCTAAAAACAGAACAGTGACGGGTTTTATTCAAAAATTCACACGAGCTCTTCTTCTCCACAGACCCTAGGCGATTTCTAGAGATCTTCTTCACCAAAGCTTCTTGGGTAAGTATTATTTAACTTGTTTCCTTCATTTTCCTTCATCATTTATCAAATTCTTAGGCTCAAATCATGTAATCTAGGGTTGAAATTGGGGGGAAATGGGTAGAGTTAGGGCTTTTCAATCTTCTTTGATTTAGACCTCGTTTTGGGATCGAATTTGAAAACAAATTGTATATTAGGGCTCGTGGGGGAATGGGGGGGGTATGAATTTGGTCCGAACCTCGGGTTTTGACCAAGCGGGCCCGGGGTCGATTTTAGGAATTTCGGAAAGAAAGCTTAGAAAACTATATTTAGGCATTGGGTTTGATTTGTTTAGCTTATATTAATGTTGTAAAGTCGTTATTTCATAGATTTGATTGAGTTGGAGCCGAATTCGAGAGGGAAGGCGGTTGTTGTGGATTGATTTAGCTGTGGAAGTTGAGGTAAGTGTTTGGTTTAACCCTAGCTTGAGGGAATAGGAGTTGAGTCTTGTTTGCTATTTGCTAATTGATCGAGTACGGTGTATAGGCATGGTGACGAGTATCTATACACTGGTGTCTAGCATGACCGTGAGTCCGTATATTGTGTTTATTCCTATTTTGTTGTGACTCTTTCTCGTGTAATTGATGAACTCTATATAATGTGAAGAGTATGAGAAAGAATTATGATTTGCGAACTCTTTGGAGCGTTGGCTCGAATGATAAACTAATTATTGAGTAAGAAAAAAAAGAAAGAGAAAGAAATGTGATTATTCCCTTGCCGGGCCGTATTCGTATATTGATTACCTCCCTTGCCGGGATGTGAAAGTTATTATTGTTATTCCCTTGCCGGGATGTGAAAGTTATTATTGTTGTTCCCTTGCCGGAATTTAATTGTTTACTTGTGTTTCCCTTGCCGGGACTTCTATTACTGTTTGTCTATCCCCTCGCCCCATTGTTTGTGATTGTTGTTTGGGTGAGGACGAGTGATAAAGCACGAAGGGTGATGCCGTGCACGATTGTGATATGAATACTAATGCACGAAGGAACATTCCGTGCCCTGTTTTGATTATTAATGCACAAAGGAGAATTTCGTGCCCTGATTTGATTACTAATGCACGAAGGAACATTATGTGCCATGATATGAGTGTTTATGCACGAAGGGTCATTCCGTGCCATCATTTTGTGAGGTAAAGCATGAAGGGTGATGTCGTGCACTTTATATGATTGTTTGGGTGAGAATGAGAGTAAAAGCACGAAGGATGGTGCCGTGCAACTGTTGATTTCCTGCTATCGTTGCTATTGTAGTTGTACTGTTTCATTCCTCAATTATCGATTTTATACCTGAACTGTTACAGCCCCTACAACATGCTCCCCCTTGACTGGTTAATTTCTGTATACCTTTATATTGCATACATATATATTGAACTGCACAGGTTTGTTTGGTAGTCCGGTCTAGCCTCGTC